AACGGAGGTGGGACAGGGAATGTCATGTGAGGACCAACCAGCAGGCCACCCATTATCACTATGTCCAAAGAATTTACCACCTGGTCATGAAACTACAGGTGATGAGCCTCTCTATTGAACCAGCAGACCCAAGCAGCAGGCTTAGCCTGTCACTGGGATGGTACTTGAAGCCTTCCTTGCCTGCTAGAACCTACCAGAACTTGTGCTTTGTTGACAAAGCCTTCAACAACCCAGGGTCACCTCAAAACAGAAAATAAGATACAGTAAGTCTTAGGGGTAGCTAGGCGCCGTAGCGGATAAAGCTCTGGGCCAGAAGTAAGGAAGACCTGAGTTCAAATGCAGTCTCAGATGCTTATTAGCTGTGTGAACCTGGGCAAGTCATTTGATCCCTGTTTGCTTCAGTTTCCCTGTCTGTAAAACGGGGATAATAATATCACCTACCTCCCAGGGTTGTTGTGAGGATCAAATGAGATATTTGTGAAGCACTTGGCACAGTGACTGGCATAGAGTAGGTGTTTTATAAATGGTAGCTATTATTATTGTTGTTATTATAAGGTGTAATAAGGTATTTATAATAAAGATATTTCATTAGAAACAGGTTTACCTTGGTTCCCTCAATCCACAAAGAAGAAAGATGTAGTCTATGAGTTGTTTAAATTCAAGCTCTGGCTTTGTCTTTAGCACGAGGGAAACATTCCTTTTCAATTATCCATGATTTTAGCTATTCTTTATAAAGGGAACTCTCCTGTGTGACATCTCTTTAATTGTTTGCTGATTCACTATTAATGTGTGTCTGTGTTCAGCATTTCTTTCTAAATTCCTTGTTCTGAGGAACCTTATAAAGATCATTACTGAAGTCCACTATTTCACGAACTGTGACTTTCCACACACAGGGAATTTTCATGGGACTTAGAGCTGGCACCTTGGAAGACCTCTAGTCCAATGCTCTTATTTTACTGATAAGAAAACTAGATCCATCGGATGTTGAGACTTGCCCAACAAGGTTGCACAGGCTGTTAGGAGACAGTATGTCATGGAAGGTGCTGGGTTCATATCCCAGCTCTGTGGCTTCCACTCTGTGTTCTCCTAGAAGAAACAGGTGGTTGGATTGTGTGACCTCTACTATCTCTTCCAGCTCCAGGTCTATATGTGTTTCAAACCCAGGCCCTCTGACTCCTAATCTGCCGCTTGGTCTAGTCTGCCTAGGAGTCCACACTGAGGATCTTTACAGCAAAGGAGCAGTGGAGTGCTTGGGAAGTTTCATTCCCCATTAGGATTAATAATTTAAATTCCCAGAGGTACCACCCCACAATGTGGACAGCATGCTGGACTTGGAATCAAGAAGACAGTTAGTTCACATGTTGTCTCAGTCATCTAGTAGCTGCATGACCTCGGGCAAGCCTTTTAACTTTTCCTAGTCTCAGTTTGTTCTTCTGTCAAATGGGCACAAATAACAGCACCCACTTCATAGGATAGCTGTGAGGATCAAATTACATATACGATATGTTGTTGTCAGTCATTTTTCAGGCGTTTCCAACCTTTCATGATCCCATTTAGGGTTTTCTTGGAAGGCATGCTCGAGTGGTTTGCCATTTCCTTCTCCCACTCATTTTACAGAGAAGGAAACTGAGGCAAACAGTTAAATGACTTGCTCAGAGTCACATAGCTAGTAAGTGTCTAAGGCTGGATTTGAACTCATGAAGATGAGTCTGACACCAAGCCCAGTCTTATGGCCACTGTGCCACCTAGCTGCCTGTATATGATATTATTATTATGTACGTGTATATAATGCCTCACAAACCTTTAAAGCACTATATAATTGCTAGCTATTGTTGTTAGTATCAACACATACTTATCAATTAAATGAATTTAATTCTAAGGTTATGGCACTATTGAAAAGAAAAAGAAATTTCATGGTGAAGAGTGGAGAGGTCATAGTTTTCTTTGTTTATGAATGGAAATGAGGGAATTCTTCCTCTGCTGGTGAGGGAGGATGTCAGCAGTCTCAGTAGACTTACTCAGACCATAAAACCGCTATATTTGGATTCAGAGATGTGATCTCCTCCATGCTGGGGTTACAGGCTACCATGCTAATGGAGCAGTTTGCTGCCAAATGGGATGAGGCACCTTGGCCCTTGCTCTGTGACCACTGATAGGGTATTGTGATACAGACTAGACCTGTGATCAGAGGCTCTTACAGAGCCATTCCAGTATGTGGGGATGTGGACCCTAATCTGAACCAGTTCAACAGATTCCTAGTTTCCAAGAATACCATAAGATCTGGGGATTTTCACAATAATGGGGTTAGTTCAATTTTCTTCTTATTGATTTATGTCAGATTGAAGGCATTTTTATATATCCACATATTGGACTTGACCTGGATTTTTTTTTCCCTTGTCACAAATACTTAATTAACATTTGACCTGGAAAAGTGAAAAAAATTAGAGCCAAATTGCACTGAACATTTGGCCTGGGTGCTCCAACCTTGAGGGCAACCTTTCTCCAAAGTAGAGGGTACCACAATAGATCCTGTTGCTGGCTATAATCAGAAGTTTAAGGCAAGTTTTCCCACATACAAAGATTTCCCACCCATCATATCCTGAAAATAGGATTAGCCTACTTTGCAGTACAAGATGGCTAAATTCCCTGATACTGATTTTTCTTGAACATTGTGAAAGACCTTCTTGCCTGAGGAGGAGGGAGACGGAAGAGCTATAGGTTGGGTTTTGAATATTTAGGTTGGGTTATGCAAATGGTTAGACATGAGTGACATTTCTGAATTTATAGTAACCTCCATTCATTCCCACCCACTCAATCCATCCCTGTCTCTCACCTTACCAAGTCATGTCTTGTCAATGGGCTAAAATATTCTTTTTAAAACTTTCTTGTTTCTAATGTTACTTATCATTTTGTGCCAGCTCGGCTTTCCCATCCAACCGTAGTAGACATGCCAATTTGTCCTAACATTCCTGATTGAATAGAAGTCTTTTGACTTCCAGACCCATGTTGGGAGTGATAGAAGAGTAGAGGGATTGGTCAGAGATACATCCATGATGGAATTTGTATTTCCCTAAGCCCAGGAAAATAAGATCGTAAGATCATAGCTCTGGAGCTGAAAGGGACTTCAGAGACCATCCACTCCAACTCTCTTCATTTTGTAGATGAAGAAACGGAAGCCCAGCAATGTTAAGTGATTTGTCCAAGGTCACACAAGTAGTACATATTAGAGGCTGGATTTGAACACAGGTCCTTTGACCCCAGGGCCAAAACTTTTTATTATAATATTCCTACCTCAATGATTTTGTATCAATCCATAGTGCTAATTTGAGGTTATTTCTAAAATGAGGAAAAGGGAGAAAATAAGCTAGTTGGGAGGGATTGCTAAAAATCAGGCTAGGCTAGAGTGTTCTGCTTTAAGCACTTGATGCTGTAACCAAGCTATTCTAACATCTTGCTCTACCCTCATTCACCTCTGTGATTTTCCCTGGAAGGGAAGAGAATAAGCATTTATTAAGTGCCTACTGTGTGCTAGGTACTGTGCTAAGTGCTTTTACAAATATTACCTCATTTGATCCTCACAACAGTCCTATGAGGCAGATTTTTTTATTATTATCTCCATTTTACAGTTGTAGAAACTGAGGCAAACAGGTTCAGTGAACAGCCAAGGGTCACACATCTACTAAGAGTCTAAGGCCAGTTTTGAACTCAAGTTTTCCTGATTCCAGGCCCAACACTCTATCTACTATACCACTTATCTGCTGCTGGAGCTGGACTCTGGAATAAGAGTCCTCTCCCAATTTCTACTTCCATCTCTCCATGTTGACATCCTTCTTCCTCTTCAAGGCCCTAGCTCAGGTCATACCACTTACGTGAAGCCTTCCTTGATTCCTCCTCTTCCTTCTCTGCCTCCCTACATGGAATCCTTCCCTCTTTGAATCTTTCAGGCCACTTGTATTTGGCCTGTCCTGAGCAACGAACTGTTTTCTAAACTATATCATCCTTCATAGATGGCGGCAGCTAAGTGGCTCACTGGATAGAGTACTGGGTCTGGAGTCAAGAAGATCTGAGTTCAACTTCAGTCTCAGGTGCTATTAGCTGTGTGGCTATCACCAAAGTGACTTGGGCTCATCACTTTGCCTCAGTTTCCTCAACTATAAAATGGAGATAATAATAACACCCACCTCCCAAGGTTGTTCTGATGATCATATGAGATTATAATTGTAAAGTGCTTAGCATGGTGCCTGGAACATGATAGGTGCTAGATAAATGCTAGCCATCATCATCATCATCATCATCATCATCATCATAGAAGTACTGTAGCATGATAGTTAGATTAATGTATTAGGCCCATTGGAGTGAGGAAGACTTAAATTCAAATCTTGCTTTTTAAATGAGCCATGTGACCCATGATGAGTCACTTAGCTTATGAGTGTCTTAAGCTGGGTTTCCATCAGCATTGGTGGAAAGAGTTCCCACACAGGAAGTTACTCAAACTGACAAAATCATGGATTTACATATTGGAATTATTATAGAATAATAAATAGAATTATTAATAGAATCATTAACTTAGAACTAGCAGCGGTTTTAATGTCCTTATCCCCTGAGTTGTTTGTGCTTTCCTTCTCTGAGACCCTTGAGATTACTCTGTGCTTACTTTATATATATTTGGTATTTGTTTGTCTGTTTATAAGTCCCCCCTTCATGAATACTCCCCTGATCCTCAAGTTCCTCGAGGTCAGAAACTCGTTCATTTTTTTAGTTGTATGGCCACATCCTACTCCAGAGATTTGAACATAATAAGTACTTAATTAAACTCTTGTTTCATTAAATTTAAACCAAGGCCCCTCACTTTGAGGATAGGACTTGGTTTCCCCATCATTTCTCTGAGTATTTTGCATGTAGTAGATCTTTAATTATTAAATTGAGTTTAAATTATTGGAGGGCAATGGGCACATAGGTATGAAATCCTTATCATTTTCTTTTTTGTCTCTTGTTCACAGGGAATCTAGGAAAGTCTTCTGTACCAGAACCCAAAAGGGATCATGGCCAAACTCAACCACCCAAGTAAGGAAAATGAAAGATGTGGGAAGACAACATGGTCTAATTAATGGAAATAGTCTAAGGGTGGCAATCAGATCTGAGTTCTACTTCCAATTCTATCACCATTTTTGATTCACTAGGTATTTAGTGTCTTAGTTTTTCTAATACTGATTGGTTTTCTGGAGCCATCAGTACAGTTTAAAAAACATTTAGTATCTACCTAATATGGTAGTTAGGGGCAGCAAGGTGACACAGTGGATAAAGTACTGGGCCTGGAATCAGGAAGGCTCATTTTGTGAGTTAAAATTTGGTCTCAGATACTTGCTATCTGTGTGACCCTAAGCAAGTCATTTAACTTGGCTTGGCTCAGTTTTCTCATCTGTAAAATAAGCGGGAGAAGCAAATGACAAACACCAGTATTTTTGTCAAGAAAACCCCAAATGGAGTCACAAAGAGTTGGACACAGCTGAGAAATGACTGAACAACAGTATGAGCAGAGCACTGTACCAAAGATAGAAAGTTTAGAGAAGATATTGTCTCTACCCTCAGGGAACTTATAAGTCCATTAGGGCAGTATGGCAAACATAAGAATAACTGTAACACACAATATTGCTTGATACGTACATAAGAGATGTGAAAAGAAAATGTGATGTGTGATCCCAGGGGAGAAATATCATGATCAACCTGTAGTGTTCAGGGAAAGCTTCATAAAGGAGGAGGATGCATTTTAAAAGATGGCTATGAATTCCAATAGTTGGAAGTAAGGAAGGGAATTCTAGGCTTAAGGAATTGTGTCAAAGACTACAGGGAAAAAGGAAAGCAAAATGTATGTGGTTGGGAAGGAACCAGAGCGATTCTGCTGTCAGAAAAAGTATTTGAAAGAAGATAATGTGACCAGGACCATGAAGAAGTTTGGTCGGTCAATAACTACAGCAATAACAAGGATAGTTAGCATTTGCATAGGTGCTTTCAGATTTAGAAAATGCTTTCAAATATTATCTCATTTGATCCTCACAATATCCCTGAGGTTAGCGGCTGTTATCAAATGAGATAGCTAGGTGATACAGTGGATAGAGAAAGGGACCAGGAAAAGCCAGGAAGACCTGAGTTCAAATGTGACCTCAGACACTTGCTAGTTGTGTGACCCTGGGTAAGTTCCTTAATCTCTGCCTCAGTTTCCTTATCTGTAAAATGTGGATAAGAGCACCTCCCTCCCAGGATTATTGTGACCATAAAATCAATCAACATTTGTTAAGCACCTACTAATTGCCAGCCACAGTGGTAAGGGATGGGGGTGGGGGGGAAGGAGGCAAAAGACAATCCCTTTCCTCAAGGAGCTCATAATTTAATGGGGAAAATAACAAGGAAACAAATGGATACAAACAAGCTACATACAAGATAAATGGGAAATAATTAGAAGAGACAAGGTACTAGAATTAAGAAGCGTTGGGATGGGGCTTCCCATAGAAGAATGGCTTTTGGCTGGGATGCAAAAGAGGCCAGGGAAACCAGTAGGTAGAGCTGAAGAGAGGGTGTCCCAGGCATGGAGGACAGCTGTGGAAAATGCGCAGGAACGAGAGATAGAGTGTTTTGTTTATGAGGAATATAGTGTCACTGGATGGAAAAGTACGTGGAGGGGGTTAAAAGGTAAGAAGACTGGAAATGTAGGAGGGGGCTGCTAGGTTGTGAAAGACTTTGAACATCAAACAGGATTTTGTATTTGAACTTGAATGCTATAGGAAGCCACTAGAGTTTATTGAGTAGAGGGGTGACATGGTTGGACCTGTGCTTTAGAAAAATCACTTTGGTTGCTGAATGGAGGAAGTGTTGGAGTGGGGAGAGACTCGAGGCAGGCTGACCCACCAGCAGGCTATTGTAATAGTCCAGGTGTGAGGTGATGATGGTCTGCACTAGAGTGATGGGCATGTCAGAGGAGAGGAAGGAGGTTATGTTCAAGAGATCCTGCAAAGGTGAAATTGACAGGCCTGGGCAACAGATTGGATATGGGGGGTGAGAGATAGCGAGGAGTCAAGGATGGATGCCTAGGTTGTAAGCCTAAGTGCCTGGAAAAGGGGGTGTTGCCCTGCAGAGTAATAAGAAAGGTAGGAGAAGGGAAGGGTTGAAGTGGAAAGATAATGGGCTCCATTATGGATATGTTGAGTTTATTTGTAAAGTGCTTTGCAAATCTTAACATGCTTATTTCTATTACCCCTTTTAGAATTGAGGAAACAAGTTGAGAAAGGTTAAGTGACTTGCCCAAAGTATCTGAGACATTATTCAAACTCAGATGTTTCTGATTTTAAGGTCAGCAGTCTATTCCACTAGTTGCTTATAATGTGTAGGATGGGTAGGAGAAGAGACAGAGGAGTTAGAAAAGTCTCTCTCAGTTGGAAGGGATTTCAGAGACATTTAGTCCATCTCATACCTGTGCAAGATCTATAGCATAACCAGCTTTTAGTCATTCATCCTTTTCTTGAAGACTTACAGTGATGAGGAAGGAAACAAGCATTAATTAAAGCACCTATTATGTGGCAAGCACTTTGCTAAGTGCTTTACATAGATTATCTCATCTGATCCTGGCAACAAACTTGAGATGTAGGTGCTATTATGATTCCCATTTTATAGATGAGGAAACTAAAGCAAACAGGTTAAATGACTTGTCCAGGATCACTCAGTTACTTAGTGTCAGAGGCCTGAATTGAATTTGGATCTTCCTGACTACAGTTGCATTTCTCTCTCCATTGAGTCACCTAGCTGCCTCTGCCTCCTAAGAAGCACATTTCACTTTGGAGCACTATGATTTATTAGAAGAAGCTTTCCCTAACCTCTACCTAAAATCTGCTTCTTTGCCACTTCCATCTATCACTCCTAGTCCTGTCCTCTGTCTAATCCCTCTTATGCATGACAGGCTTTCAAATACTTGAAGATAGCTATCACATATCCTCCCCAAGTCTTATCTTGTCCAAGCCAAGCATCACTTCAGGTAACCAGTGATAAGATGGTATAGACTGAGGGCCTTTTCCATCCTGGTTGCACTCGTGTGGACACTTGTCAGTTTAGTCAATGTCATTTCTAAAATGAATTGTTTAGAACTTAACATAATATCCCAGATATAGTCAGCCCAGGGCAATGTACACCAAGGCACAATACTTCCTTATTATAGAAACTATGTTATCTCTCTTGTAATGGACAGTAAGATGGCATTAGCTTTGTTTGTTTATTTGTTTTGTTTTCAGCTGCTTAAATTACTCCTAACTTACATACTTGCACTCCACAAATATTCCCAAATCTTTTTTAGATGATTTTCTCGCTATGTCAACTCCTTCATGTACTTGTGAAATTGACTATTTGAACCTAAGTATTTACATTTGTTCCTGTTATATTTCATTCCATTAGATTTGTGTTAACGTTCTAGACGATCAAGACCTTTTAGATCCTGACTCTGTCATTTAAAGTGTTAGCTATTTCTTCTAGTTTTGTGTCATATACAGGTTTGATGAAGGCGACATTTATATCTTTAAGCCATTGGTAAATGTTCAGTGGCAGCTAAGTGGTGCAGTGGATGGAGCACTAGGCCTGAAAGTCAGGGAGACTCATCTTCTTGAGTTCATATCTGGCTTCAGACATTTACTAGCTGTGTGACCCTGGGAAAGTCACTTACTCATGTTTGCTTTAGCTCCTTATCTGTAAAATGATCTGGAGAAGGAAATGGCAAACCACTCCAGTATCTTTGCCAAGAAAACCCCATATGGGGTCATGAAGAGTTGGACATGACTTAAATCTACTGAACAACAAATGTTCAGTGGTACAGGGTCAAGCACAGATATTTGGGGCATGCTACTAAAGACTTCTTCCTAAATTGTCATTGAATTGTTGACTGATTACTCTTTGGATATGGCCATGCAGTCAATTTGAAATCCATCTCACTGGTGTATGTAGCTCATACCTTCCAATCTTGCCCATAGGAATAGCATGAATGACTTTGTCAAATACTTTGATTATGTAGCACCCTGTCTGGACTCACATTCCTAACTTTCCCTTCTACTGGCAGTTTGGGTGGCTGAGTTCTACTCTCCCAAGGTAGTAGAGATAACCTGGAAGGGATGGAGTTTCCAGTACTATAACTCATTAACTGTTCCTCACCTCTCATTTGGTAGGATCACTTATCATCAACCAACCAGTATAAATCTATTAGCTTCTGGAAAAAAAGATATTTACTTAAAAGTATACCAACAGTTACTAAATACTGACCCTCTCACCCCCTTCCCCAACCTGGAACCACTCTTCCTTTGTACACACAAATTTACTGTGGAGAATATGTTTAAAACTTAAAATGCAATGAGAGATATTCACATGGTTGTGTGGTCAAGGGTGACCTCTCGGCTCTTGGCCCCCAGGAGCCCTTTTTTCCCTTCATAGAGTCCTCAAGGGGTTCTCCTCCTTAGTTTGAACTCACTGCTGGGCTCTAAGGAGTAGTGCCTTGGAAGAGTCAGCCAGCATTTCTTCCCATCATCATGTGTTATAATACCTGAAGCTGCCTCTTTCACTGGGAGTATGCCTTCCATCTTTCACTAGGAGTATGCCTTCCATCTTCAGGTACTTCCTTTGTCACTGGCTACTACCACTGCAGTGGACTCTGCTACTAAATCAGGTTGCCGGTGAGAATTCTGATGACTTTGTTGAATCTCTTCATTTCATAAGTTACTGGGAACTCCTATCCCAGGATAATTCTTCACCTAAGATCAGGAAACAATAAACACTTAAAACAAAACAAATCTCTCCTTGACCCTTATGCTTGACTGCACAGTATAGATTCCATGTGGTCAGGGACAGTGGGGGACACAGTAGCCAACTTCTTTCTTCAACCTAGTGGCTCACAGGAGTTGCCATCACTCAGAAGCTACCATGGAGAGTATGAGAGATTAGACACTCAGATGTTTTGGATGCACACTCAATTTTGTCTTAATCTTTCCCGAGTTAGGGGTCCTTATAGCTGAAAAGCCAATAAAAGGGCATTTCATCAT